AAATAATCATGCGATAATCGTAAGGTGTGTGCCCAGCCTTATATCCAGACGGTTTAAATAGGGATTTTGATTTTTATCTTTTTATGAAAAATAGATGCTGATGTGTATTGTTTTTTTACAGGTTCCTCAATGGGATTGGACAATATTGTGGAATTTTTTATTTAAAGTTATGATGATTTTGTTACATTTTGATTGATGAGGGCGACAATATTGTTTTAATTAATCTGATGAGGTGTTTCTTATTGTTGGACTTATTTAAACTTCCTGTGGTTACTTTTGTAATTCATCATGAACATGATAAAGGGTGGAGACGCCCTTGTACTGATGGGGGCGGGCTTGCGATGATCGCTAGTACGATCTGCCTGTCCAAGATAGGCAGATCGTACGTTTTTTTAAGTACTTTACAACCCTCACAAGACAAAAGTCTTGCGAGGGTTGAAAAGTGTATGGGCACCTTTTATAGAGACACAGACAGCAAAAAAAAAATCTGACAAGTGTTCTATTTCCTCTCCACTCTGTCCAAAACTAAAAAAACCCTAAAAAAACGTAAGCAAGCAGAACATCCGGGAAATCGGGAGAGCTGGAGCACTGCTGGAGCATTTAGCTGTGGTCATTTTATAGTAGTCCTTATTATATGATAGAGTGCTACTACTCTGTGGTTACCAAGCAACAAATATATTTGTTTCTCCCATAACGTTTAAAGGAGTCTATTTCAAATTTTAACATATGATTCAGACCTGTTGCAAATCTATGTCCTATAGCTGTTAACTTTAATGAATATGCTTCTGTAACAATCGCATCATTGTTAATTTACTATAAAGCTTGTGCCTATAGTTTTGTCAGGAACCAGAGCACCTGCTGGTGGCACTGCAGTACTTGGACCTGAAACATGTAGTTCCAATTTCCACTAGTGGGTGTCTCCTAACAGCCAGCTGTTCCTAGCAATTAGCCTCCATCTGATACTGGTTGCAGGGAGGGAATTTAGCTCCTCACTGGCTTAGCATTTTACCTGATTGCCCATACCCTCTTTTTGCTGATCCTGGAAACCTGTAATCCTGATGCTGTACCTGCTTCCTGTCAACCAACTGATGCTGCTGTAATACCTGCTATCCCTACTACTACTACTACTACTACTACTACTACTACTACTACTACTACCTGACCCTGATTCTGGCTATATTCCCAGTTTGTATTAACTGCTGCTCCTTGTAGTCCCTCTGCTTGGCCTGGCTGTACTGATTAGCTCCTACCTTCAGTTTGTATATAGTTAGGTAGGAGTTCCACACTATGCAAATGTATTTGCTGGTGCTGCATAGATTGATGTAGATATGTTGTTTTTCACCTGCATTGTGTTCTCAATAAACTGTATTGCTTTTTTTCATATGCGTTCGGCTCGGCTGAGCCGCTTGGCCATGATCGGGAGCTGTACGGGCTATTGTGAATAGCCTGTACAGCACCCCTTCGGTTCTACTGAACCGAAGGGGTCCTGGGGCCGAAGCTAGCTGAAGCTAGCCGAAGAATCGGCCGAAGCTACGGCCAGATCCTTCGGCAGCTTCGTGAATAGACCCCTAAGTTTTAGGTCCAGTCTGTAACTGATATATCTGATCACACCTGTGCGATGATACCCTTACATGGTATTTTGACAAGTTTGTTATCATGTTTGTCCAAGGGGACAGCCATATTAGCCAAAGAGCAATGCTTTTTGCTTAGTTAGGGTTCATGCACATGGTATCAAAATGTACGCAGGATCTTTCTGGATGAAAGCTGGCCAAAAGATGGCTGTAGTTTTAAAGGGTTAAAAATTAAATAAGTACTGTGTCTCTAGAGTGTGTGAGCGAGCACTCCACACTCTTTTCCTGCAATTTAGCAAAAGGTTGCACCTTTCTGCCACTGCTACTTATAACAAGAGACACATGGTTTTACCTTGGTTAGTCCTATCACTGAACTGCCCACCCATCTCAACCCTTCAGAGTAGACGAGGAAGGAATTTTAGGGGAGAAAAGGCATACGGTATATTAAGTTGTATTTTTACCCACTAAGCCACAAGAGCACCCACTGCTTATGTCACCCACCTGTCCAGTTTGTTGATGAATCTGGCTTTGCTCTGGACTGGCTCAGAAAAATATGGAATGGCCTGCCCAGGATCAGTTTACTAATCTGCTTCACAGTCCCTGGCTTTACAGTATGGCTGATGAAGCCCATGTCTTGAGGAGCAAGGGCATCCCTGAATAAGAGATCCCCACAATATAAACCATTGCACATGGAAGGGAATGGAAGGGAAGGTATTTAATTCCAGAAAATATGCTGTGTGATGAATCCTGACAATTGTATAATCAGGATCAACCTGGATCAACAATTGTCTCTGAATATTATTAAGAGTCAGATCTTGGTGCTTGAAATCTTGTTCCAAAGTCACTCATTCCTAGATTAAGGCATTTATGCAGGGTGTTTCTCATGTGGCTGCCTGTGGAAATGGAATTTGGTTCTCTTGGCACTTCAAGAACCACCCTTGGAACTTATAAGGGATGTTTCACTTTTCACTCACAATGTTTATTTCCCTTGTTGCCATCTACAAGGTATGTCTTTGAACTGGTGTCTTTGTCTTGTATCAAAATGTTTGTGGTCTTACACAAGGACAAGGCAGTATTAAGATCTAGTGCCTCCTTCCTGCTGATGGTAGTTTCAACATTTTACCTTAACCAGGACATTGTACTTCAATCCCTCTGTCCAGCCCTATGACATCAGAAGGAGATTTCCCAGAAATTACTCATCTAGACATAGTTCGAAATAATGTGTCTAGCTGTAGTTGAAACAATGCATGTCTACCTCACAGTCGCTTGCACTATTAGTAAAACTGACTCTCCTTTTGCCAATCCTGATGGTCCCTTTAAAGAAGAACTATGAGATGAGTGATTTCCACTCACCTCATAGTTCTAGCCGACCTGTGACAATGAGACTGTCACAGGTCGGCTCAGTAGATCGGGAGGTGAGCGAACACATACCAGGTTCGCTCACCTCTCGATCCTGTCACGGCTCTCTGCTGTGACAGGGGGAGGGGCTGGATTCCCCTCTCCCTGCTCCGATCTGCCAGCGCTGACTGGCGGAACGAACGGGGGAGGGGGCGGGTACAGCTGGCTCTGCCTCTAGATAGGCAGAGCCAGCTGTCACTCACGCAGCTGGGCGGATCCCGTCATCTACGTCGGGATCCGCTCCGGCATCTCAGTATACCGCGAGCTGTAGCTCGCGGTATACTGAGCTTAGGGTAACGGGAGGACGCTAGTTTGTGTCCTCCCGTTACCCTAAGGAGAACTATGGGGAAAAACACTGACCCCATAGTTCTCCTTTAAAGGGGAAGTAGCTTCTCCTTTCACCATTTCTTGGTGGATCAGACAAATTATAAACATTTCAGCTTTTCTGGAAATTGACATGGAATTTTGTTTTAAGAGATTGAACTCTGGGTTGAATTTGCAGAAATTGTGCTGATTATTAATCACTAATTAATCATTAATAATGTTTTACACACCCTATCAATCCAAACTAGATTTAGAAAATAGCAACATGCTTCACCAAACTCAATAGCTACTAATGATTTTACATATATTATCCTGTAGACTTACCACCTTCCCAGTATCTCTCACTGAACATAAAGTGCTTGGTACTTCATCTAAAGAGATTGCTGCCACCCACCTGCACTTTATTTCTTTTTAGGCAATGCCAACCTTAATATCTAACTTTTTCTTTCTTTATTTCACCAAATACTGCGCCAAATGATATATACAAAATATACATTCTTTCATAAAAAAATTTCAAGTGATCCGGCATATTAGGCCAGAATAGTGCTAGCACGTTTTCCTTTTTTCTACGTGTGATTATTACTTATATAATGATTCAGCTAAGCAAAGAGAAGGATTTGTTATTTCTAACATAATACACTTGGGATGGTTGGGGGAAGAACTCTGCATGCCCTATAATGCGACTATGTGAAACAGTCAGATGATTTGACTCATCTGCCTTTTTTATTCCAAATCTACCATATTTATTTTCGTGAAATGATGTCCTTAATATATATGCTGGCTTTTAAACATTTGTATATCACGAATCTCTGCAGAGATTTTAGATGGATCACTACCAGTATGTGACAAAGTAAAAGCTATTGCAGAGTTTTCTAAATATAGCTTTAGATGACTGCTTGCTGCGGCTTGTTACCATGTTAATTGATTGGTAACCCATGAGGCTTACAATAATCCTCCTCATTACCATACAGTCATTAAGTCAGTCACATATCTCAGTGGGGGACATTTTGCAGGCAGAACATTTAGACTGTGGTTACAATAATCCAATAAGTGTTAATATTCAGGTGATGTTAGTTGTCTATCTATAGCAAATAAACACAACAGGGAACGTGGGAGTTAATAATAAATTCCCCAACACAGCTCAACAGGTTGCAGACAAAAAATAAAATGTAATTATCATCAACAGGACTGGACTAAGGGCAACTGATGCCCTAAGCACAGGCCATCAATGGTGCCCCCCTCCCCGGCCCCTCTATTGCTTAACTGACAAAAAATGTAGACTCCATAAGTGCTGAAAAGGAAACAAAAGTTTGAAAATGTATAAACCTTTTACAGTTTCCTTTCAGGTCACCACTAGTCAGACCCACCAACTATAATTTATTTTAATTTTGTATTTATTGAACAGATAGTTGCATGTTTTTGTTCTATGCCCAGACTGAATATTTTTATTTAGAAATGATTAGGGGAAGTACTTCTTTAACAAATGATAGTTAACAATCAATAAGTCTTTGGGACCTGTCTACTTTCAGCTCCCCATAGATGAGCCCCATAGAAGTCTATAGGGCTGTAATGTGCCTTGATGACTAGGAGAGGGGTTTGTGGCCAGGAGCATGAACAAAGAGAACTAGAGATAACATTTAAATCCAACAACTTGGCACAGGGTTACAGTGTGAAAAGTAAACTCCTTCTAAACAAACACATCACTAGATACATTGATATTTGGTCTAAGTGAAACTGCAAGTTCCAGCCTGCCATGCCAGTTTATGAATGGCCACACTGGAAGTTGTAGATTCACAAAGATTGTAAAAAATCAAACCCCAAATGGGGTTTTAAAACATGAAGGTGTTGGGTAAATCTGCTATTTGATCTTAGTCTGTCTCTGCCTTCAGGGACTGTAGAGTTGTATTCATTTAGTTAAACCTGTTCTGTGATTTAGGGATAGAGGAGGCCTTTCTGGGGGGACGTGGGCAATGTAAACGAGTAGGCTAAAAAGTTTCCACGTGTGGCCATCCTGCCTTAAAGGAGAATTATGGGGTTTGGGCTTTTCCCCATAGTTCTCCTTAGGGTAATGGGAGGACACAAACTAGCGTCCTCCCATCACCCTAAGCTCAGTATACCACGAGCTACAGCTCGCGGTATACTGAGACGCCGCAGCTAAAGCGGATCCTGACAACTATGTCTGGATATGCTCAGCTGCGTGAGTGACAGCTGGCTCTGCCTATCTAGAGGCAGAGCCAGCTGTACCCGCCCCCTCCCCATCGGTTCCGCCAGTCAGCGCTGGAGGATCGGACAGGGGAGGGGGGAATCCAGCCCCTCCCCTGTCATGGCAGAGAGCTGTGACAGGATCAAGAAGTGAGCTAACACCGGTATGTGTTCGCTCACTTCCCGATCTACTGAGCCAACCTGTGACAGTCTCATTGTCACAGGTCGGCTAGAACTATGAGATGAAACTATTCAAATTTAGAGCTGTCAGACTGTAGTCAGTCTGATCATGATTTGATGGGCTGTGCACATTTGGTGTCTCCTAAGCTCTCTGTTATTGGTTGTATCAGCCTGTGGGTGAGAGTGACCTTGCAAGAGAGCAGAACAACCAATGATTGTGCTTTATGAATATGCGTGTCTCCCTAGCCAATCACTGGGAGGTTCATGACCAGTGGTGCATGCTGGGGAGGACATAAATAATTGTGGCTCATCTTATGAGTGTATCTCCCTCGGGCCTTCTACATGGGGGAAGGATGGTGTGGAGTGTGACAGTTCAAGGCCTGCTGCCTGGGGAGGGAAGCCATATGCTCAGACTAAGGCCTGGGTCTGAGGCCTAGTGAGTGAAGCTGAGAAGTGATCCTCTACGGCAGCATGTAGATGTATTATAAAATGGACTAGTAACTATTATATCAAGTACTACACAGTCAGGAGCTCAAGACACAAATTACCACAATAGACTTAAAAGTCCTCTAACTGTGAAGGCTGCAAGTACTCTGTTTTATCATTTTCTTTAGTCTTTTACACCCTGGATGTCCTGTGCCCTAACCCTCTCATTGCTAGTTCCTCCATAAAAAGTTCATCAGCATCATATCTTCTGTGTGGACATCAGTTTTATCGGTCACCAGTTGAGAGACGATAAGTGCTTTTGGGGCCGCAATACAACAGTAAACCATAGACAGGCTAGGAGGGACCGGTGTATCCAGCAGCTCCTTCAGTGGTGGGCACTACACACAAATAAATATTTCTTTTGTACTCAAATGACAATGATTATTGGAATGTTATGTCTATATTTGACTGATCACGATGCATATATTTTATGCATGAGTTCTATGTGACCTAAAAAATTATTACAAGGGTTTCTCTGGTTAAAAAGTTGAAAAGGGCTATTATAAACACCATGATAAAGGCTGTTATAAACACTGTGCTGAACCCTAACTGTCTAGACCGTTTTTAGAAGCATTCTGCTGCTCAAGGTACCAATTTTTTGTAGTCTGGGAACATCTTACTCATGCCTTGACCAGTAAAGCATTGGGCAGGTATATCAGGGTCCTGCACACTGTGGAAGTAATACAATTAATGACCCCAGTTTTTATAAATCCTATTTTTATTAGTTGGAAAAGTTAACTATTTTAACAAGGTAACTGATTCTAGCACAATTATGATGGTTAGTAATATGATAACAGGTATAATATATAAATGTGACTAACTCAGGTAAACTAGATTAACATTTAAAAAAAAAGCTATAGACAAAAAAACGCCTTCTAAAAATGTCATTACTACAGCGGCTGACAGCGGCTTATCCACACTTATCCACACTCCACACTTTTCAACTACAATTTGTGAATTTAAACTTTTTTGTTTTTTTGCCAGTGAAACAAATGTAAATTAAAAATGTTAGTGGGGTATTTGGGGAGAGCAATTTCTTCCATGCTGAGTCGAATCGCTGTGTGAATTTTCATAGTATCTGTCATTAAAGAGAGTAAAAGCCATTGACTGGGTAAAGTGCGTGTGTACTGTCTATCAGAGGTCATTATATTCAGACATGCAGCTTTTATTGAAGTAAACATCAATTCCTGATTACTTTTCCACTTGGACAGTTTTTGGAGCCTTGACAATAAAACCATAAACTCAGAGCCATTAATAAGTTATTCGTTTAAAGCTTCTTCTAAAGCATTATTATTAAAGGCCAGGAAATGCCTAACCCAGATATCTGTTATACACAATAAATGCAATTTTTATAATTTGTGGTATGTACAAGACATAGGTTGCACAGAAAATAGATAACAAAGACAAAACTGTTTATAGAACAATACATTTGGACACCAGTTGCTGATAAAAGCTTTATATAATAAATACAATTATCATCATCGATATATAGCATAAAATTCAATTTTCATATAGGGTTCACTCTGGAATTCTAATTTAAAGAAAACTAATTTGCTCTTCTTAGTAACATACAATGCCTCTAAATCTCCAGGACCACACACAGGATGAAATAATTGTGTGATATCATAAACTACATACGCCATTCTGTATTTGCATGAAGGCATATGAAGACCTCTCTTTTAATGGTCCTTTGATCAGTTACCAATTTCACAACTGCAATATGTATATTAACACTCTCAGGCACAGTTGACTGTGTTGAGGGAATGTCACTCTGTGTTGGTGCAGTGCATGCACTGTAAATTTACAGGCCATGCTTCTACTGGCAGCTTCAGGTCTTTGACTAATGATAGGCAACCAATCAGCATGGTGTTCAAACATGTGATCATTATAACAACCAATAATGGTAATTGCATGTGTGTTTGAGGCTTGTTTACAAATAGCCTCTCTACCCTGCAGATGGCACTTTATCTCTCTCTCTCTCTCTCTGAATGATTTCTTCAAGAGAGAGAGATAAAGTATGATAGAAATAGTTATTGTTTAAAAATAATAATAATTCAAACACAATTCTGATTAAAACAGTTATGTGAAAAATAGCCAAAATTTCATATTTTCAAATTTTTGTTCATTTGTCAGCTTATAATAAAGAAAATGAAGAACGTGTTTAATAACAGCCTACCAAGTAAATGCCTTTTATCGCCTTCAAATTTTTTTTACATTATTTAGGCAAAAAAAGGACTCACACAGGTATTGTCACGTTAATCAGTGCACATTGAAGCTGCTAAATGTGGCCTTGTCATCTAGGCGCCAATGGCCTCTGGGTAAAAATGAGTTAAGAAACACTCCAAACTACCCAAGACACCTTATGACAACCTCCAGACTATGTTTACAACTACTCCCTATGGGTTAATTGCAGACCTTATTAGGTCTAAGAGCCAATGATTTTTTGTTTCCGATATGTGTGTAGGGACAGTCTGATAAATATCCACCATGGTTGGACCAGAATCAAAGATAGCAGCTATGTTTATGACAGGTCCTTTTTGCAAAGCATAAAATTCACAAAACTTAAAGCATATTGAAACCAAAAGCAAAAATGTAACATATTGCAGCTTACCAATTCTTAAATGTGGCCACATAATTTTTTTTTTCTTGCTCTTTTTCCTTTATTTTCACCAGGTTTTCCGCCCAGTACGTCTGTTATTTGTCAACTTCCTTTTACAAACTAACCTGTCCAGCTTAGGCTGGCCATACACCTATCTATTTTTAGATCTAGCTATCTTAAATAGACACGATTTATCCATCAACACTAACAGCGTATCGATTGAGGAATCCTGCCATTTACATTGTATTCTGACAGATGCTGCTGGCACCTGCAGAATACCTGACCAGAGCGGGCAGTTCATTGGCTGCCAACTCTGATCAATCAAAGATTTTCCAACTGGCTCCTTTGATCAGCTGATTGAGGGATGCCGATCGAAAGGGTACCGACAGCACCACACACTGTGCGAATTTCGTCTAGTTCATCAAAAACCAGCCGAAATTCAAACAGTGTATGGACACCTTTAGATACCAGCAGACATCCCATCTATCCTGTCAGATTTATGGTTGAGATAAATCATTTAACACTAGTCATGGTCAGCTTTTATTTATTGATGTAAAACCTTTATCACAAAAGAAAAAAAAACTGTGGCTGCAGCTACTTAAGAAGTATTACCTGTAGTTCAGATTCAGTTTCTAGTCAACTCCATATACATCTCCTGTTACTGGCTAGATCACCAGGTGAAAATAATGGGAAAAACATGAAATGTTTGTTTTTGGGTTTAGATACAATTTCATTCCAGTTGTCAAGCAGGGTCCTTCTTCTCCTCCAGTGTCATTGGTGGGTGGTCTTCACAGCTGCATAGAAGGGCATTCACATCTCCTAGTCTATGCAGCATTGTACTATGATCCCAGGCTGTGTAATGACACAAGTCCAGGGTGTAATGCTGGCACATTGGGCTCAAAGGAAAACTTTGAATGGCTGGCACTAAACCTTGAAAAGGAATGGCAACCTGGATGCAGTGGATAATGCTGCAACATGGAGAGGATGAGTAGTGCTTAACAAACCTTTACTTTTTAACAGGGTTTTTTTTTCCTAAAGAAAAATGAAAGTGGAGTTTTGCTTTGGGCATCCCCTCCTTCATTTAAAATAACAAATGTTTATGACTTCCAAATAGGATTTTCCAGCTGGTTAAATATGATCTGGTGCTAATGGGAACAAAAGTGTGCACTACTGTGCAAGGGCAGTACATCTACTTTATGTCCGCCAAGTTGTCCAGAGGATTTCAGTGAGTCATGGATGGTTCAAGCAAAGGCAGTTGCCTCACTGTCAATGAAAAAGTGTCTGAAAACAATAGCAAAAATTATTTTAGTGGACATAAGCTGCGGATATTTCAAAAGGTTAAGGCTGGATTTACACCTATGTGTTTTTCCCTGGTGCATTTCCCATTGAAATGGATGCATCAACTTGCGTTCACCTGCATTGTTGCATGTTTCTATTGTTTTTTTGCAGGGGACTTTTCATTGAATGTCAATGCACAATACATTGCACATCAATGTATGGTAATGCTTGCCACATTACGTTTACATGCATCATGGTGTGCATTGACGTACATCTAAACACATGTGCACATGCATCTCTATTGATTTCAATGAAAAATGGATCAAGAAAAAATGCAAAGGTTTGAAGTTTACTGTCTTTTTGTTGTTTACAATTACTGTTATTTTCTAACCATACATATTAGCTTTGTCAAAAGCAACAAATGGCCTGGAAAATGTTTACATCATCATGAGAAAAGATTACCATTGAAAAGAGCTTTCACACAATGGTTAAGATTCAGCAAGGATGGAAATATGGTCTGATAAACCATTTCTGGGCTTTATAGCTTCTACTGCCTGCTTATTATCAACCACCACTATTTAAACAACAGGGAAATCTTAGTTATGCTTAACTGGAGTGACATTGATGCCAGTGAATATTAATTCTTTGATTTTTGCAAACTTTTATAGACATCCAACAAAGAGTGCTAATTTTTAAGTGCTGCAGTCCATCACAACCAATCAAAATTCCCTCTGCTAAAGTTAGACCAGGACAGAACGAATGTCTGCTTTCTAAAGATTACTGCATTTCAGATTTTCTACCTAATTTGCAAATTTTTATTGAATCAGTTGGTAATACTGAGAAAAATTGTAATCTGAGGTACTTTAAATTAAGAGCCACCTTTTAGCCCCATTCTGATACTCTGGGGCTGTTGTGTAAATGCTCTGCCCTGTGTACAGGTGGGAAAATGCCTTTACATGGCATTCCATGATGGAAGCAAGAGCATCATAATTTCCAATGCTGCTCCGAACATTTATACATCCCAGCAGAACTATGGAGTTACTGGTGCATTATCACCTCAATTTTTTAGCTTTACATTGGTAACAATAGATACTGTATAGCAGCCTCTGCATCTGTTCCATTTCCAACATTTCTTACAACAATGTTTCTTGATGGGTATGTGTGGTGGTGATATTTGCTCATCACCATTAGATTTAAAGTCTAATTAGATGAAGTAGCACAAGGCATGCATGGCCTTTAGTTTAAGTCTCTGGTGTCCAATGTGAGGCCAAGGGGCCACATGCAGACTTTTTGCACCTATTGTGCAGCTCTCATTGCCCTTGAAGATATTAGTCTGTGTTTTAATGTATACTCAAGTCAATGAAGAAAAATATTCTTTAAAATGGCTTCTAGTAGGTAAATTGTTTGGTTTGTTTTTCCACAATATCTTGTGAATGCTGAGAGAAATGTTACATTTCATACTAGAATTTTTTAAGGGGACTGTAGGGAGCACAAATGTGGAAGCGGAGCACAAATGTGGAAGCTTTGATTTTTAAAGGGACACTAATATTAATGATCTCATCCAGTCTCAATGTGTCTCCAGTCTATGACTGTCTCATAAAACATGTCCCCAATCCATAGTTGTCTCTTGAAACATGTCTCCAACAACTCCTATTGTATGTTCACATTGTCTGACCATCTCCTGTAGGCCCTTTGTTGATGTCAGACGCTATACTTGAGGCAACTAAGGGGTCTATTCACGAAGCTGCCGAAGGATCTAGCCGTAGCTTCGGCCGATCCTTCGGCCCCAGGACCCCTTCGGTTCAGTAGAACCGAAGGGGTGCTGTACGGGCTATTCACAATAGCCCATACAGCTCCCGATCATGTCCGAGCGGCTCGGCCGAGCCGAACGCATATGCATATGCATCGGCTCACCTGAGCCGTGCTGAAAGCCGAAGCTGGCCGACAGCCTGCTTCTGACAGCTGGGCGGAGCCAGCCGCGATCTTACGGCTGGCTCCGGCCACTTGCAGTGAGATCAGCGTCCCTGGTTACCTGCTAACCAGGGACACTGATCTCCAAACAGCTAACGCTCCCTGGCGCCCCGGGAGTCTCCTGCTCCCGGCCGCCAAGGAGAGAAACACTGCTGTGTCCTTTTTTTTTATTATTCTGACACGATCATTGTCAGAATAGAAAAATAAATAAATAAATAAATGTTCCCATTGAAAAGCATTGGGACATTACTATTGGCTATTTCAATTTGCAATTGCCAATAGTAAACTAGCATTGTACCCGCCCTCTGCTGCAGTTCCCCATCAGGTCCATCAGCAGAGGGCGGGTACAATGCTAGT